CATCATATGGGAATTGTGGTAATCAAGGAACCAGAAGTTGCATGAAGGAATTGATGTTAAAGCTCCTCAAATTGGTAGGCAGATTCTCTTGGTGTCCATTTGCAAGTCATGGTGGGAATGTTTATTCTTTGAACATTGGCCTGCTAAGGATATTCCTCTACTCTATTACAATGGGAAGGGTGGTTGTGTTGTTTTTCTGAGCTTTTGTGTTGATTCTACGAGGTTTTGCATCCATGTAGATGAAAACTTGTAGGTGATAAGTAATTCAATTTTTGGATTAATTCCAGTGCATTTATGCGGGTGAATAATGACGTCATCACTACTATCATTTTTCTTAGGGCTTTGTTTGGTTATATAAAAATAGCAATAAAAATAGCAAGAAAGAAAAAGAATTGAAAAATATTTTAACTTTTTAAAAGTTTGGATAGCATGAAAAGAAAATTTTGAAGGAAAGTAAAATATTTTTTCCTAAATAGTAGAGTATTATGAAACATACTAATTAACTCATGCATTTAAGTGAACTCAAAATAAAATCACAGGGTTTATCCGTGTCAGGACCAATGATTTACAAAGAAATTTCTATACATAGTTCCTCTTGTATTATGATGGTGGCAGGAGAATTGTAAAAGAAAAACCATAATAGCAAGCACCTTGTTTCAGCACAGAAAGCTTTATTTTTTAGCGATAAGAAAAAAAGAGTGTCACATCAGTTGCCATGTCTATTTCTGTTAAAATAAACAGATATTTTTATGCGATATTCACTATTTTCAAAAGTCTTATGATTACAAACAAATTCTACGTGAATGCCAGCATACAAATTACACTCTTAATTTAAATAGTACGTGTATTGTGGGGCCGATACACGTGCTCTAAGAAGAAATTTTTTTTTATCTAATCTCAATTCGACTGATCACTAATCTGATATCAATATAGTTAACAAAGAGCAATTAGAAATATTAATCTTATTTAATACAAAAGTCAATACTGAGCAACTAACAAGAGATCAAATGACAAATATAACCCATATTGATGGTTTTATAATGCAGAATCTTTTGATATCAAGATAACTGGTTTTCTGCATGATTAAGTACACGCACTAATACAGAGCTTCCTCATTATAATTAAACATATTTTTACAATTACAATTAGTGAATGTAATTATAGCATATAGCCATGTACTTCATCCAGGTTCATCAACTGTTCATCTAACAACTCAATTAAGAAGCTACATAGAATTTGCATCCTCCTGGATTCCCCAATTGAATTCCATCATGTCTCTTGCCACAACCCCACTCTACATAACATAAGTAAAACACACATCTCTCTAAGAGAGTCACCCAAGACAATGGGTTATTCATTGGAGCACATTATCACAATTTTGGCACCATGCTTCATTGCCTCCGTGGTCATGGCACAACCATATAGTTATAGAAATGTTAGAACCGTTCATGAAATAAGAAATTTTTTGGAAGAAACCCAATTTCTTAACCCAAAAACAGTTCTACACCGATATACAAACGTTTTTGTACACCAAATGAAAGTATCAGAAGGCTTATAGTTGGATCTTTGGTCGTTCTTCACAAATTGGTAGAGCTAGGTTCGGTCACCTCCCAATTGATAGGACTTGAACATAGTGACAAATTTCTGATGCAAATGACATGTAGAACAACAAATTCAAAGAGTTGGAACAAAAAAAATTGAACAGAAACGAAGCCAAAATCAAACAAATCGAAGTTCTAAAATCATTTAATATGTTTTTAAAACATAAATTGAAGACTATAACATTACAATGAGCCCCAAAATATTGTGTTGCAACACTACAATTTATTTCACCCATTTTTTTGAAATGTTTTAATGTTTGGGGGAGCTTCCAAATTTTAAAATTCCTTCCATTTTTTGAAATGTTTTGGCATTGGTTAAAACAAATTATGACTCTGTTTGGGGGAGCTTCCAAATTCTAAAATTCTTTTCGATGGAAGGAATTTAAAAGAAAAAATTTATTTGGTGGATGCAATTTTAAAATTCCTTCAACAATTAACATAGTTTTTAAGTTGATATTATTATCCTAAATAATTAATCTCAAAATTTTCTCTTCAAACAGATTAAAAACCCCAACATAAATCTCCTACTGATTCCCAGTCAAATACTTATCAACATAACTTTCATGCATTCCATGCCTACATACAATATACACACGTCTATATTTATAAACAATAGATTGTAGAGAAAGCAAACCTTGAAATTGGAAGTTTTAGGATCCAAGGGTTGAATGTAGATGCTATGGCCATGACTATCTTCTCTTTCCAGAATTAAGAAGTTTGAATCGTCCACATACATGCAACATTATAGTGATTACATATTAAACCCCCTAATCTTTCAAGCAAACTATTGTTGGATTTGTCACAGAATTGTTTTTATAAAAAAACCTGAGACTCCTTAGAGATCTCATTCAAGAAAAGAATTATAGGAATGAAATTTGAATGATAGTAAAAGACTCTAGAGAATTTGTCCAAATAGAAAACTTCTTATAGTAGTAGAATGTGAATGGAAGAAGAAGACTTTCAGTGCAAAAATTGTCACTAAAAATCATCGGCTTGGAGTTCTTCTTTTTCTTTATTTCTGTTGTTCATATCCCAATAACTTTTAGTAGAAAACGACAACATCTTACAATTTAATAGACTTTGACGGTTAATATTGAAAATTTGATATAATATGTAAGGATAATTTTGTAAAACATAATTTATTACTTAAAATACGACTAACTTGGCGAGAGCATGTTTTTAGGATCCTCTCTTTTTCTAACGGGCTTTCAATGACTTCCACAGTTCCACCCCTAATATAGGTCCTTTACAAAACATCTACCAAACCCTCATTGTTTTTTGGGAATGTCTTTTTGGGTTTGGAAGCATATTTTAGTTCTCCAAAAATAACGCCAGACATTACCTATTCCACACCAAAGCTTTGAGTCTAAAATTCGCTATTGTAGCGGGCTTAAATAGAAACATCCAAAAATAAAACACTAACCAAACAAACCCTTCGTTAACAAACACAAAGAACACTTCTATTACTGAGTGATATACAATGCTCTCTCACTTGTTGCCTCCCTACAAACCCATCATCAATTTCTAGACCTTGGTTTCTTACGAATGAATCCCTTAGTTATTTAGCGGCATCATTTCTACTTCTAAAACTCCATAAATATTTTAGATATTTACACAACTATAAAATTCTCAGCTTTCTAAATATTCTATTCTACCAACATCTAAACCTACCAATATTCTAAAGCCTTCCGTCTTTCAACAACACTCTCACCTCATTCGACAATCTAAAGCCATCTCAGTCCTACCTATATTGTTATTATATTGTTCTCTTTATCAAATTTAATGAAACTAAGGGTCCATTTGGCATACGCTTTGTTTTAGGCATTTTGTTTTTGGTTAAAATAGAAACAGTATTTTTGTTGTAGAAGTGTTTTGGAAAAAAAATCAAAAGTACATTTGGGAACTATATTTTGCTATGAAAATGTCGGAAACAGATCAAAACATGAACAGTTATAGTTTTGGCCATGAACAGCTGTCAAAATAAGAAAATATATATTTTTGGTGTTTTGGTTTTGAGCTACTGTTCACGAAGTATTTTAGCACTATGTAAAATAAAATAAGGCTGCACCAAATATGATTTTGTTGCCAAAATCAACATTGTAGCAGCCCAAAAACAAAAACAACAGAAACAAAAAGCATGCCAAACTTGGCCTAAGCTTAACATGACTAAATGCAAGTTGAGCTTATGTTAATTCAATTCACACCTCACTTTAAAATTATATGGTGGAAGGTTAAAAATTCAAGTTTTGCGTAGTCAAAGCGAAACCATTTATGGGGAGAAGAAAAAGAAAATAAAAAAGATTAGGGTCCGTTTGGCAATCATTTTTACTTTGAGTTTTTACTTTTACTTGAAGTAGAAGAAGTGTTTTTGCTTAAGAGTGTATTCAACACTATTTCAAAGCTTGTTAGGAACCGTAAATTTGTTGCAAAATTTTTTAAAGCAAAAATATGAAAACGTGTTTGGTAAAAAGTGTTGCAAATTTAAAAAATTAAATACCTAATTAAAAATTTGTCCAAAAGATTTAGAGAGAGAGACGGATAGGCGAAACATGTGTAGGGGATCAAGACCCCATAAAGCCGCCTGGTATATTTGACGTCACCAGAGCCCAGTCAAATCAAGTACTTGGCAAACTAAAGGACGAGATTCATGCATCTCAACTGGAAAGTTGTGAATCACATTAATGAACCTCAGCTACCGCCGCCTTTGAAAGGATGGGTATTTAATACGACAATACCTATCCCCATGACAAAAGACTGAAATAGCCCTATTGTATTCAATAAAGCCATTATGGCTACTCTAAGAGAAGTCTCAAGGGACTATTTCACTCGTGTAAGGATTTGAGCCTATAAATAAGGGCCGAGGTGTCCAAGCCCAAGGATCCAAGTTTCCTTTGATAATCACTCTATTGTATTTTGTACTCTGATATCACCCCTGTTATTGAACGTATATTGATTTACTTGAAAGAACCCCCACAATAGGGAGAGGGAGATGTGGCAAATTAATTAATGAGGTTCTTAATGAATGATGTGCATTAATATTAGCCCTCACATTAGTTTTGAAGAGAGCAAGAGAGAGGTGCCCTCAAATTTTAAATTTTTTTTAAACAGTGTTTTTGTTATAGTGCGGAAGTAACCAAAAGTATCATTTTTATGCTTCCAATTTTGGCCTTTTCTTCGAAAGCGCTTCAATACTATTTAAATGATAACAAACGTTGCCAAATATGCTTTTTGCTTTTGCTTTGCTACAACACATTAGCAAAAATAAAAAACACTAAGTAAAAATAATTGCCAAATAAACCCTTAGAAATCAACTACATTTAATTGATTTGTACTCCTTATAAATTCATAAATGTGCATGTACAATTGTACATCTTTACAAGCATTATATTGCTATTAATATAATTCAACATCTTAAAATTATTTATAAAAGATCAACACAAATTCAAAACATTCCATGTGAATAGCCACTTACAAATAGAATAATGTCTATAAAGAATCCAACATAAAAGCCATAAAATTTCCCAGACAACCTTGAGTTTCTATACAATACCACACCCATTTATAATAGAAATCAATCTATACACGCATATACATAACAATCATTCTGGATCTTTGATCTTCTAACCCCTTCTTGCATCTTTTTGTATTGGAAATTAAAATAGAATAAGATAATAAGTGAATATTTACTTTTAAGCACCGCGAGCCAACATTTCCTGGAACTCAACGATGGATTGCTCCCTCTCAAGCTTCATGTCTTGGCGAAACTTCGAAATGAATTCCTCTGCTCTCTCATCCACACACTGAAGATGTGGCAGCGAAGAAACCGCAGCCTTCCATGCATCTTCAACAGTACGTGTGCTCGTCTCACCTGCCTTAGGCTTGCTCTTTCTTGGCAAGCCTTTCTCATCAATGATCTCGACAGCCGGAGTTGGGAAATGTACTTGTTTCTGCTTCTGTTTGTGATCTTGGATATTCATTGTAGTAGCTTCAGCTTTGGCCTTATTGGTGGCACTACTTGATGCAGCTGTTCCCTTGGCCTTGCTTGCCTCCCCCAGTGGATCCATATGCTTGGTATTCATTAAAGCCGGCTCCAGAAAGAGCTGGCCCACGTATATGGCTGCAAAGTTACTTTGAAATTGGTGACGGTGGTGGTTGTGGTAGTGGTGGAGGTGGCTGCCACGGTAGTGGCGCTGGTTGCGAGGAAGATTGCCTAGTTTACGGGGAATAAGGGGACGGATGGAACAAGAGGCTGCAATGCAACTTATTTTTCTGATGGCTTTGGAGATTCTAAGCTTGCTTAGTCTTGATTGGAGTGTGTTGGTGAAACTCCTCCACGCCTTCTTAGCGGGTTGAAGCTTCTTTGCCAAGTTTAAGCTTGACATCAACTTTTAAGAAGAGGTATTTTTTTTGAAGAGCATATAGGCTGAACCAGAGTAAGAGGAAATGTGGTTTTTATTTGCAGTTTTTGCAACACACAAGAACTTTACTCGTGTTGGAAAGTATGGTTCTTTATGGGAAAAGCTACCTATTGCTTTTCTTTTCTTGTGCTACTTTCTTGCCCATGGGGTGGTGCAAAATGTCCACAATTTTTTCAACAAATTACTCCTATGCCACTCTACTGTTCTCACTCTTTGGGTTGTTCTGCTTTAACCCCATGAAAGAACATATTTCCTATATTTTTCCATGTACTTTCTCCCTTGGTCAGAATGTAAAAATAATATTTCAATATGTCTGATCTTTGTGTTAAGCCATAGAGAATGAGTTCTGAAATTCATTCTTGTAAATCATTTTCATTACAACAGATGAAGTGTTATTTCTGTCATCAAGTGGCATGCCAGTAAATATTACAAGAAATGATGTTGGAGTCCTGAACTGGTGCATTCTTGGAACCTAAGTTTAGTTTGTGAAAGAGAGATTCTGTAAAGTGCTCTTCATATATTAAGAAATACTAAAAAGATAATTGGATTTCTTCGTTGGAAAGGCGTTCCACTATGAGTTGGGCCAGCATGGCATGAGAGTCTTAACAGGTTTCTCTCTTCCATGTTACAACTAATTACCACCACCATTCCAAGTTTAGATAGGTGTGAGATTGCAGATTGGATAAGGTTATTGTCAAATCTGTCATGGCTTAATTGAGAAGACATTCACTGGTTAGTACAATTCAGACCTAAGTCACACAATCCTTCTTAACAAGTGTCGCTCTTACGCTTCGAACACGCTCCCGCTCCGCTTTCATTTTGACTCAAATTTTCACTATTTATGACTTAATTATGTGGCTCTTACGCTCCCGCTCCCACTTTATGTGACTTAGATCTAGACTCTCCGATTAAAAAAAGCATGGTCCACGATCATTGAATAATTTTTCTTTGATCTAAAGAAAATTTGAAGAAGCCGTTTGTTGACAACAATTACCTTCAAGAAAGGGCTAAGCACGTTCTCTCATCATCTATGAGCATCGTCAATCTGATCAAAACCAAAAAAGAGCCTATGTTTACCCTAATTTACAAGTCACCTTCATATCCTGTGAAGGTATTGCTTCCTATTTTTTTAGTTCCCTTTGCTTCTTTTAAAAATTCACAAGTTGCACACTATTTCAAATGTGTGTGGATGGCAAGCTGCCTGGTTTTCCAACTTGTAGAAAATGTAGGCCTACCTGCTATATATTTCCCAAGAAAAAGCAATGGCCATTCTCTGTCTAGTTTGCTTTACAGCTCATTACAGTTCCTTACAGGACCTTTACAATTGAAATAGGCTCCTTTTAAAGTGATATATATAATCATAATCATAATAATAATAATAATAAATAAATAAATACTTTTAAAAAATATATTATGTTTTTATATTTTTCAACATTGGTGTGGTCTTGTACTGGAAACCTATTCCTTCATTTTTGTTATAGGTTTAGACCCTATTTGTTAGAATGGAACCCGTCCTTAATTCATCAGAAATTTAGCATTTTAATGATTTAAAGTAAAAAATGATAGAATTACCTGACAAGTCCACAACTTAAATCTTACTCGTGTGACTAGTGTGGTGTCATGGGGTTAGGGTCTTCCAAAGAAAATATTTCTTTTTAAATAACAATAAAAAAATAAAAATTGAACAAAAAGTCATATCGTCTTACGACGACTCTTGCTCTTGCCGGCCCAAGACTCATAGAAGGGCTAATTTAATACACAAATCGCTTGTCCAAAGTGGGGGAGCCTTACTCAAATACAAGTTTGCTACTTTACTGGGCCACGTACTTAAAAGTATTTGTGTTAGTGGGCTTTAAATGAAAACGTCATGGGTAGCTTCCTCTCTTCAAGTTCAGCAACACTTTGCATGCGTCATCAAGGACGTAAGCGAGAACCCAAAATTTCAATTTTTTGACCCACTTTTTCAAGATAAGTAAGAATAAAAATAAAAATAAAATAATACTCCATTAGTCCATCCTCCAATTAAGAAGGACAAACATGTCACGTCCACCTACCAGTCCCTGTCCAACACAAATTTTCAAAAATGGCAGCTTGCTATCTTAAAAATCTTGAAAGGTGTTGGCATATAATTTTCACACACCACACAAACACACACATATATATGTAGATGTATAAGAACTAGCAGCTAAATTATACAAGATTAACTATACCACCAAGCAAAGAAGTGAAGCTTTTGGGACTATGGGTTAGCTCATTTGTCTGGAGGGTTGAGTGGGCTCTGAAACTGAAGGGTGTTGACTATGAATACATAGAAGAAGATATCTACAACAAGAGTCCTCTACTTCTTGAATTGAACCCAGTCCACAAAAAAGTTCCCGTGCTCGTTCATGACGGAAAGGTGATCCTCGAATCCTTTGTAATTCTCGAGTACATCGATGAGACATGGAAAGACTATCCATTACTGCCTCAAGATCCATATGAAAAAGCCATGGCACATTTTTGGGCCAAGTTTGCTGAAGAAAAGGTAACCATCCCCTACACTTTTCAGAATTTTCGAATAAGATTGTTATTTTTTTTTTTTTTTATTCAGGAATCTTTCTATGTTATTCCAATTTTTATTATTGAACCAATTAATAACTATTGCAAACACCAATTACACGTGGTATCTCAGTCTAATACACTTCGATGGTTTTTTTGTTTTTTTTTTCTTCTTTCAAAACTGTTCATTTTTCGTGTATCAAGGCAATGCATGCTAATTCAGGATTTTTGTAACAGTTTCTTGTAGCTGCATGTATTGCTATGTGCTCCGATGGAGAGGATAAAGAAAAGTTTGTGAAATTATCCATGGAGGCCTTAGAAAAGATAGAAGGTGAGCTCAAACTCAAAGGGAACAAGTTCTTTGGAGGAGAAACCATTGGGTATTTGGACCTTGCAATTGGATGGATCCCTCACTGGTTGCCTGTCTGGGAGGAAGTTGGGGCCATGAAGATTGTGGACCCACTCAAATTCCCAGCCACCATTTTATGGATGAACAATTTTCTCAATCACCCGGTAATCAAAGACAACTTACCACCTAGAGATAAAATGCTTGTTTATTTTCAAAAGCGTAACAAGGAAAGTGAAATTGTGGCTATTGTCGCCGCTCTTATCGCCGCTTCTAGAAAAGGTTGATTTTCAAGGACTTCGCAAGTCCGTGCACGAAACTCCCATCATGACCGGTTGTGTTTATGTTTTTTTCTAATGATTAAATAAATCAACCTTATGTGGCGTAGATATGTACTAAAATTTGTGTAATTTTCCCTATGATGTATATATGTATATCAATGATAAGCATATGATCTATAATTACCCGATGGCTCACATACATTTTAATTCAAGAAGCATACTGATAGTCTCTCAAATTCATTGGTTGCAGATTAAATCAAAACACAAAGAGAGCTCAATTAATGCACTAAAATTGGAAGATTTTTGCATTTTATTATCTCGTACATTCTAATTAAGCACAACATTCCCGCATACAGGTACAAGAAACTAGGAGACATGATCGTCTCCATTAGCATTAGGGGCTTTATTATATATTTAATCTAATCCCTAATGTACCACTTACATATGTTACTAATTTATATTACATTTAAGCATATTCCCCCTGCTGTGACCTAGATCCAGGGGCAAATACTGTGAGCTCCTCCCTGTTGTACTTCAAGCTCCTAGCTTCTTCCCTAGATATATCATATGAGGTCATTAGCACTTCTTCCGGCATACCGCGCAGGGCCGAGAGCCTTCCGGCCATCAGACTAGTCTTGGCGTTATCGTTGGTTTTGAAGGATACCCACTCCAAACCTTGATTACTTGCCTTCTTCAGAACTGCGAAATTTTGAGGAACGATGATGAGCTGACCCTCCTAGACTCGATCATTGAATGCTGATCTTCCGGCTTGGTTGACAATCTGAAGCCGGCCACTCCCTCGAATGATATACATGACACTGTGGGCATTCATGTTCCAATGTGGTGCCATAATAGCATTATGCACATCACATGAAATTGTCACTATTAGAATGAAATCAAATAATTAATATAATGTTGAAGGAATCAGAACTGACAGTAGTAGACATGCCTTATATCCGAGGAAGTATAATGGGCAAATTAATTTCTCTGAACCTCCAAATTAAAATCCGTCTTCAAGGAAGCTTTCATAATTTTTCGATAACCAAATTCCAAACTTTATCTTTTAACTTATTTACGAAAATGTCCTTGTACACGCTAACAGCACTCCATGGTTAATTACACTCACATTGCTTGAGATTAAGATTTGTCTTATTGACAGTCAAATGAAAATTGACTCATTTTTTATCAATAACACCCTTTCAAGTTCGAAAAAAATAACAATAACACCCTGTTACTTCTTACACAAGGAAAATTGACCCTATTATCTTTTGACCTGTGAATTGACCAATTTGTATAATAAAATTACCATTATAACCTACCTAATTATTTTAATAGACAAAACTAACCCTCTATATTCTCTCTCTATTACTAATATACTTGCAAACACACACATACAATGTGCCCAAAATCAGCTTTATTTCGGTTCAATGAATCCACAAAATAAAAAAACCAAAAGCAATATATATATATAATAAAACATATCTAGTTCTAACTCCAAGAAGTGATCTTCCCAACCATTGCCTGAAATTTAAAGCTCAAGACCAAACCTAATACATCCCTGCTTCTTTTAGCCACAGAAATAGACTGCTCTCACCAACAAATTCCATAGCCCATTGATTCAAAAAAATTAATAAAAAAATGCAAGGCGCTGAAGGAGGCGATGCTGAGTGGCGTTTGGGGCGTGCAGATAAACTCCTATATATATACACATACAATACATACAATTGAATATATATATACACGAAAAAAAAGGATACATAAAGAAGATCCAAAAAAAAGCATTTGAACGCCGAAAACGGCAGCAGCGGAGTCGCCGGCGAATTCCAATAATCTTGGCACCCAATTGCAAAATTCAATCCAATAATAGTGGCTGAAAGTTGGAGACAGACGCTCATCCGTGATCTTCAATTCCATAGGATACGCTTGATTACTCCACCACCGCCACAACTTGGGCCACCAATACCTACCCAAAATTTTCGATCGTTGAGAGCCCCAATAAAACATCCTTTAGCGATATTTCTCTGCGATTCCCAAAATAGTAGCGATCTAGAAGAAAACACGAAATCGACCCAAGTAAGAAAATAATAAGATCAGTCAGAATTGACGACAAAATCCACAATCGACCGGTAACACTGAGGAGGAGGAGGACGGAGGCAGTGGTGATGCGCGAAGCCAATGACAACGATTTAGGTTGGATTACAGTGGAGAGAGGAGAGAGAGAAGGGGTGGTTGTGGCGATGATGGGTAGTGTAAGTGTGGACAGGAGGTGGGCACAGTGGGAGGAGGGCAGTGGCCATGGTGATGGCGGCACTGTGTATATGTATGTGTGTGTGTGTATATATATATGCATACATGTAATAGAAGTCGTTTTCACTTTATTTGCAGGAGCAAGGGTGAGTCATATATAGGGTGAATGGTGGTGGAGATGAGTGGAGAGAGAAAGAATGGGTGGACGGTAGTGGAGGAGATGGTGGTGGCGAGGAGGTAGATGGTGGTGGCGATTGAGGAAATTGAGAGGCTAGAGAGAGAGAGAGAGAAGGATAATGGGTTAATTTTGTTTTTTTTTTCTTTTTCCAAGAAGGGTATTTTGGTCACCTAATGGTTCTGATATTTTAGATTAAAATATAAATAAAATATTAAAGGGTAAAGTAGACATTTCATCCCTTTTAAGGATCTGTTTGGCTTCAAAATCTAACAGGGTGTCATTATTCGAAAATAAGCTAACTATCATCTAGCCGTCAATATGACACAGTTGTGACTTCAGTGAATTTGCTTCATTACATTATATAGCTCGTGATTCGACTTTGATCGGACTGCAAGATCGAGTCCTAGGCAAGTCATTGAGCCTGGTATGGAAACCTACTAAGTGATAATAAGCTAACTATCGTCTGACTGTCAATATGACAAATCTCAAAAGTGTAACTATAATTAACCCATAATTTATTTCTGTTAAAGCATCTCCAATGGTAAAATATTAAATTTGGATGTCAAATCTATATTTTGACAGTGCTATAGTATCAAAATGTTACATTTTAGCAATTTTGCTCCAATGATGCATTTTATGCAAAATGCTATTTTTTGACACAACCATTATTATATTATTTTTCAAATACTATTCTTACCATACATATTTGCATCAGTAATGTTAATATTAGGCACATTTCAAGTCAAATTGTAAACATTAGAAGGAAACTAAAATTAAACTTAATTAAAAAAAATCAAATATCTAAAATATCTAGTCAAAGATCAATATATATATATATATATATATATATATATATATATATATATGTATAAATTTATATATTTGATTATATTATTATATAATTTTTTTTCTTTTTCGAAAATTTTTATATTATATATATATATATATGTATATTATATATATTTAATTATATTATTATTAAAAATATATATATATTTAGGGCAAATCATTTCAGCCTCCCAAATAGCCAAATATAGTTTTAGGGCAAATCATTTCAGCCTCCCCAATCGCCTCCATCTCTATTCTCGTTCTCAACACTGAAATTGCCCCCTCTCTCTCTCTCCAACTGCAAATTACAAAATCAACAAGAATTAGAAGTTCAAAACCCATATCTTTTAGTTTCCATCGCCCGCTGTTCCAGTTCGGGTTCGCCGTTCGCAAGCCAGACACTAGATCAAAACCAGGCATTATTCCCGAGAAACTCAATGTTCATTTGGTTCCTCACACGCACGATGATGTTAGATGGTTGAAGACTGTTAATCAGTACTATGTTGGTTCCAACAATACCATCTAGGTATTCTATCTCTCTATATGCATGTGTCTGTGTGTATATAATATATATTACATCCGTATCTCAAATTTTTTCTTTACTTTATTATTTGATTTTTGAACTCCATGGCACCATATCTCCTCATGTATGTATGGGTTTTGTTTTAATTGTTTTTTTTTTTCTGTAATTTAATTTTTACGAAGGTCTGTAATTCTATTTTATGGGTTTTGTTTTAATTTTTTTTCCTGTAATTCAATTTTATGATGAAGGTTTGTAATCAAGGGCTATAATTCTTGTTTTTTAAACTAAATCCTATTTGGTGTAATTTTTTTTTTTTTTTTTAATTTATATATATATCTCTGAATAGCTTCTCTCTCTCTGAAATAGCTACTCTTACAATTGGCATAAGAAATAGCAAAGTAAAAAAGTAACAGGTAATATAACATTGCATTAGAGAACTATTTTTAAATCTATCTGTTATTTCTTGTATTACAATTGGCATAAGAAATAGCAAAGTAAAAAAGTAACAGGTAATATAACATTGCATTAGAGAACTATTTTTAAATTTATCTGTTATATTTTGAATTGTCAGTCTATATAACAACGTCGTTGGAGATGCTCTTAGGGGGCTTTATATGAAAACGTCATGTGTCGCTTCCTCTCTTGTAGGCTGCTTCAGCAACACTTTGCATGCGTCATCAAGGACGTACTCCATTAATCAATTGAGAATCACAAACGTGTCACGTCTACGTACCGGTCCGGTCCAACACACAAATTTTCAAAAATGGCAACTTGCCATCTAAAAAATCTTGAAAGGTGTTAGCATATTCACACACACACACACACATATATGCAGGTGTATAAAAAGTTAAAAACTAGCAGCTAATTATACAAGATTAACTATACCATCTGATGGGAAGCAAAGAAGCGAAGCTTTTGGGACTATGGGTTAGCCCATTTGTCCGGAGGGTTGAGTGGGCTCTGAAACTGAAGGGCGTCGAGTATGAATACATAGAAGAAGATATGCACAACAAGAGTCTTCTACTTCTTGAATTGAACCCAGTCCACAACAAAGTGCCTGTGCTCGTTCATGACGGAAAGGTGATCCTCGAATCCTTTGTAATTCTCGAGTACATCGACGAGACATGGAAAGACTATCCGTTGCTGCCTCAAGATCCATATGAAAAAGCCACGGCACGTTTTTGGGCCAAGTTTGCTGAAGAAAAGGTAACCATCACCTACACTTTTCAGATTTTTCGAATAAGATTGTTATTATTATTATTTTTCCCTTTATTCAGTAATCTTTCTATGTCATTCCAATTTTTATTATTGAACCAATTAATAATGGTTAAGTGCAAAAAAATCACTCTCCTATTAATATAGTACAAAACAATTTTTGTGTGGTCTATATACTATTAATTTTGGTGTAATTACCTCCTATTTGTATAAAAAGACATTAATATTTTTTCTAATATAAATGAAATAATATTTAGGCAAAAGTGCAAAATACTGCAGTAACTCACTCATAATTTTTTCAAAAGTGAACACTTTGGGAATCCTCTTTCAAATCTTATTTGAATGTGCAATTACATAAATACGCCATATAATTAACATTTTTTAAAAAAATCAAAAAAATAATAATTGTAGAATGTCCTATATACCTGACTATTTTATTTACAATTTTGGTCAAAGTTATAAATATATATTTTTATCTTCTTCTGTGTCTTCCTTCTCTCTCCTCTCTTCTACCAACAACCCACACAATTACATCAACACTTTTATACTTATGATCGATGAGGGTTTGGGTACTCTCTCTCTTAGTTATATTTGTGATCGATGGATTAAATATTTTGGGTCCCGATGGGATTTTCGCTATTTAATTTTGATTTTTTTGTTGATCTTAAGTTGAATGAATCAATTCTATCATTTCTTGGTATATATAAAATTGAGATTGAATTTTCTGAATCATGGTTCGCATAATCCTTTTACCAAGAACTCTATTAGTATTCATAAGATCTGCATTATCATATTTTCTTGCAGTAAAAATTAATCCCAGAATTAGCAAGGTTTTTGAAGAGAAGTTTGGATTTACTCTAAAATCAAAGGTCTTAGATTCCTTAAATGGCTGTAATTAGGATGTGTTATTTTGGGTAAGTTATGCCAATTAAAGGGCCAAATGGCTGCATTATCTGGGGGTGTGTGTGTGTGTGTGTGTGTATAAATCCCCTCTGTGTACTCTCTTTGTGTGTCAACTATTATTATTATTATTTTAATTTTATTTCAAAAAGCGGATGAAGAAAATGAACAGTATATATATATATATATATAGGTGTGTGTGTATTGAAATAAGGGCGTGTTTGGGAGAGTGGGGCATGCGTGTCATTGTGATAAAGAGAGGCCAAAGTTTGTATATAATGTCACAGGGTATAATGATCATCATGGAGGGCATTTTTTGAATTAATAGTCAACATTAAATCACGTGCAAAAGTATATAACAGAAAAGAGGATTCCGAGGATTGGAGGGGGGCAAAGTGTTCACTTTTGGAACTACTACGAGTGAGTTGCTTAATTTTTTAGTTCAGAAAAGTATTTTGCTTATTGCTTATTTACTGAAAGTCCAGGGATATTTTGCAATTTGTCAATATTTAAAAAATTAGGCAATGTAAAATTAGCATCGTAGATAATTTACATCTCTAAACTTGCCCGTCGAGCCACTGTCTGTCTACCTTTATGTTTTGACTGATGTATTGAGTGGAACGAACAACATACTTTTCAAACAATATTGTTTTATGTTACATCCGAGCTCCTCTCTTCCAAGATAAAAAATTTCCAACTGCTATCTCATAGCATGGTTCATAAGACCTCGTCCATCAACTCAAAATCCTTAATGGAGGGGTAAATTCAGTTTTGTCTGTTTAGATTCTAACAGTCAAGTTTGGATCCATTTCGTTGCTACTATACATATACATAGTTATTTACCAAAACACAGAAGGAAAAAATAAAAAGTTAAAGTTATATAGAAGTAATAACTCAATAAACAAGAACTTGTTGAGCATCTCAGTACTTATAGTGATTGGTACTGCATATCAATTCTTGTAGTATGTGTTTTGAATTGGGTAAAAAATTTACTGCCCAACAAATACATGGGATACCAGATCCAAAGTGGACTTTGGAACACATGAACCACATAAATTTACTCATTTATGTGACAATAATTTGTGTATTGTTTTAAGAATCTGATGTGGCTTTGGGGATGGCGGTGGTGGAGTATATGAGAGAAGGGTAGAATAGGAAGAAAAAAGAAGAAGGGTAAAATAGGATTTTTGAATTTATTTTATGTCAATTTTGACCAAAAAATGGTCAGAGGGGCTTATTTGCACATTTTTTGAATTTTATGGACTGAAATACACATTTTCAAAAAATAAGAATTATTTATGCACAAACCCTCGTTTGTTTTTGCACTTAGCCCAATTAATAACTATATATTGCAAACATCAATTACACGTGGTAACTCAGTCTAATACACTATCATGGTTTTTTGTTTTGAAAGCTGTTCATTTCTTGTGTATCAAGACAATGAATACTAATTCAAGATTTTTGTAACAGCTTCTTACAGCTGGATGGATTGCTCTGTGCTCCGATGGAGAGGAGAAAGAAAAGGCTGTGAAATTATCCATAGAGGCCTTAGAAAAGATAGAAGGTGAGCTAAAACTTAAAGAGAACAAGTTCTTTGGAGGAGAAAACATTGGGTATTTGGACCTTGCAATGGGATGGATCCCTCACTGGTTGCCTGTCTGGGAGGAAGTTGGGGCCATGAAGATTGTGGACCCACTCAAATTCCCAGCCACCATTTCATGGATGAACAATTTTCTCAATCACCCAGTAATCAAAGACAGCTTACCACCTAGAGATAAAATGATTGTTTATTTTCAAAGGCGTAGCAAGGAAAGTGAAATTGTCGCCCGCGTCGTCGCTCATATCGCCGCTTCTAGAAAAGGTTGATTCTCGGGGACTTAGCAAGTCCTTGTACGAAACTTCCGTCACGACTGGTTGCGTCGCTTCTAAGAAATGTTGATTCAGAGAACCTTAGCAAGTCCGTGCATGAAACTCCCATCATGACCGGTTGCCTGTATGTTTTTCCCTACTGATATATTAAATAAATCAACCTTATGTGGCATTGATATGTACTAAAATGTGTAATTTTCCCAATGATGTATTTATGTATATCAATGATAAGCATATGATCTATAATTACCAGATGGCTCACATACATTTTAATTCGAGAAGAATACTGATACTCTCAAATTGATTGGTTGCAGATTAAACCAAAACACACTAAGAGAGCTCAATTAATGCACTTAAATTGGAAGATTTCCGCATTTTATTATCTCGTACATTTTAATTAAACACAACATTCCCGCATACAGGTACAAGAACTAGGAGACACGCATGATAAGTCTCCACTAGCATTAGGGGCTTTATTATATATTTAATCTAATCCCTAATGTACCACTTACATATGTTACTAAATTATACTACATTTAAGCATATTCCCCCTGCTGTGACCTAGATCCAGGGCCAAACACTGTGAGCTCCTGCCTGTTGTACTTCAAGCTCCAAGCATCTTCCCTAGATATATCATATGAGTTCATCAGCACTTCTTTTGGCATGCCGCGCAGTGCGGAGAGCCTTCCAGCCATCGGGCTAGTCTTGGCGTTATTGTTGGTCTTAAAGGACACCCACTCCAAACCTTGATTACTTACTTTCTTTAGAACTGCAAAATTTTGAGGAACGATGATGAGCTGACCTCCCGGACTCGATCATTGAATGCTGATCTTCCAACTTGGATGACAATCTGAAACCGGCCACTCTCTCGAATGATATAGATGACACTGTGGGCATTCATGTTCTAGCATTCTGCACATCACATGAAATTATCACTATTAGAATGGGATCTATTGAAAAGGAAAGATTTGGTAATAATACTACCAAATACTACCAAATATTATTAGCTGTAAATATAATATTTGGAGAATATTTTCTATAAATAGAATATTAGTCAAATGCTGTAAAATAAGAAATTATTAATTAGGTCAGCTAGGTATGTACGTACATTCTCTCTTATAAAGAGAACCTGTGTAAACTCGTGAATTGAGTGCTAATATAGAGAAAAAGGTTTTTCTATTTTTATTTCCTTTATAGTTTAGTTTATATGGTATCAGAGTCACCCTTAGGAAAAAAAAAAAAAAAAAACCCTTAATTTTCTTTTCTGCACAATTTCTTCACTGATCAGCCATGTCTGACGGTTCCTTCATGTCATCCTTGCCTATCACAACCTAGTCAACAAATCCGACAACCCAAGCCCCCAATACCGATTCTCACTTGGTTCAGATCACCAATATTCGCCTTAATGGTGACAATTATTTACCGGTGGTCCCAGTCCGTTCGGATGTACATCAGAGGGCGGGGAAAGATCGGGTACCTGACGGGAGACAAGAAGGCACCAGCATCGAAGGACCCAACGTACGTGACCTGGGATGCAGAAAATTCAATGGTGATAACTTGGCTTGTGAACTCCATGGACGAGGATATTAGCTCCAACAATATGTGCTACTCCGCGGCTAAGGAGCTCTGGGACAACGTGAATCAGATGTACTCTAATTTGGGAAATCAGTCTCAGATCTACGAATTGACTCTAAAACTTGGTGAGATTCGGCAAGGAGAAGACTCGATCACCAAGTATTTCAATTTATTAAAGTGCATTTGGTAGGACATGGATCTATTCAATGATTATGAATGGAAATCCACTGAAGATGCCAATCACTACAAACGGACCGTGGAGGCGCATCGTATTTACAAATTTCTTGCTGGGCTCAACGTGGAATTTGATGAAGTACAAGGACGGATCATTGGCAGGACTCCACTTCCTCCAATTGGTGAAGTGTTTGCTGAGGTTCGAAGAGAAGAGAGCCGCAGATATGTAATGTTGGGGAAGAAGACTACCACCGAACCTGTTGAAAGTTCTGCCTTTATTGTTACCGAGACTGCTGCTAATAAAGCAGTCAATTTTCAGCGAAAACGTGAAGAAAAGCCATGGGTTTAGTGCGACTTCTGCAACAAACCACACCATACTCGAGAGAACTACTGAAAAATCCACGGAAAACCAGCGAATTGGAAGAGTAGCAAGCCTGGTAACAGAAATAGGCGTGCGGTTCCTACTGCCAATGAAGCTGAGACAAATCCCTTAAGCAAGGAGCAGATAGATCACCTTCTGAAGCTGCTGAAATTTAATTACTCATTTGGTATTCCTAATGTTTCTCTTGCACAAACAGGTAGTGCACTTAATGCCCTTTCTTGTTGTTTAAATTATACTCCATGGATCATCGATTCTGGAGCCTCTGATCATATGACCAGCCTTTCCAATCTTTTTAGCACTTACTCACCATGTTCTGGTCTTGAAAAAATTAGAATTGCAGATGATAGTTTTTCACCTATTGTAGGAAAAGGTTTGATAAAATTATCCGATAATATAAATCTTAAAAATGTTCTCCATGTCCCTAAACTAGCCTGTAATCTTTTGTCTGTGAGTAAACTAACCAAAGAATCTAATTGTCGTGTAATTTTCTGTGATTCTTATTGTGAATTTCAGGACTGGAGCTCGGGGAAGAAGATTGGCAGTGCTAAGATAATAGATGGACTTTACTACTTTGATGGGGACTTCTCTAGTAATAAAAAGGCTCAGGGCCTTAGTAGTGTTAGTTCTAACTTTGTTTATGAACAAATAATGTTTTGGCATTTAAGACTAAGACATCCTAACTTTTCATATCTTAAACATTTGTTTCCTACTTTATTTAAAGGTTTGGATTGTTCATCATTCTATTGTGAAAGTTGTTGCTTATCTAAGAGTCATCGTACTACTTATTTGCCAAAACCTTATACTTCTTCAAAACCATTTTATTTAATACATAGTGATGTTTGGGGACCTTCAAGAGTCACTACTATCTCTAGGAAAAAATGGTTTATTACTTTTATAGATGATCATACCCGTTTATGTTGGGTTTATTTGATGAATGAAAAGTCTGAGGTTGGAAAATTTTTTAAGGATTTTTACACAATGGTTGAAACTCAGTTTCAAGCAAAAATTAGCATTTTTCACACCGATAATGGAACCGAGTATTTTAATGAAATTTTGGGGAGTTTTTTTTGAAAGAAAAGGGTATTCATCATCGGTCTACGTGTGTGGATACCCCTCAACAAAATGGAATTGCTTAAAGAAAAAATAAATATTTACTTGAAGTGACTCGTGCTATAATGTTTTCAATGAATGTTCCAAAATATCTTTGGGGAGAAGCTATTTTAACAGCTTCGTATTTGATTAATATAATGCCTTCACGTGTTTTAAAATATAGCATTCCATTAGAATGTTTCAAAAGAACTTTTCCATTATCAAGGATATACTCGGATTTACCTCTAAAGGTTTTTGGCTGCATAGCTTTTGTTCATATACCCAATAATACTCAGTCCAAACTTGATCCTCGAGCTGAAAAATGTGTTTTCATAGGGTATGCTTCTAATCAAAAGGGATATAAGTGCTATAATCTCCAAACAAGAAAATTTTATGTAAGTATGGATGTCTCTTTCTTTGAAAATAAATCATACTTTTCCAAAAATTCTCTTCAGGGGGAGAATGAGGTAATGGAAGAAAATTTTTGGGATTTATCTCCTACTCCTTTACCAAATGTGATTTTGACTCTTTCACCTCATCCTACTGTTTTTCCCGAAATTCAAAGTCAGGAACAATGTGATAAAACCAATGAAAACAATGAAGAGAATCCTAGTCATATAGTGCCAAACATTATTATATCTGAAACAGGGGAATAATCACTACAACCAGGCACAAAAGTTCCTAATACTGAGCCTCTGGTTTATACTCGGAGAATACTTCATCAAAAGAGTCAAAGTCAGCCTATTCCTCTTGGAATTGATTAATCTCAATCTCCGGGAACTGGACTTCCAGATATCATAGGTAATTCTGATCCTAACTCATCTTCTGTTCCTATTGCTTCTCCTACTCAAGAACCATCAGACCTTGATATTCCTATAGCTGTTAGGAAAGGCATTCGAATCAAATATCCAAATTCAAAATATCCCATTGCCAAATACCTTTCTTATGACAAACTCTCTCATACTCATAAGGCTTTTGCCTAAAAAATCTCACACTTGTTTGTCCCGAGAAATATTCAGGAAGCTCTTGATGATCCGAATTGGAAGTTAGCAGTGATGGAACTGATGAATGCTCTTAGAAGAAGTGGTACTTGGGAGATAGTTGATTTACCTAAGGAGAAAAGAACAGTAGGCTGCAAGTGGGTCTTTACGGTGAAATGTAAAGCTGATGGTAGCATAGAGAGGTACAAGGCAAGATTAGTAGCAAAAGGGTTCACCCAGACCTATGGAATTGATTATCAAGAAACTTTTGCTCCTGTAGCCAAGATAAACTCAATCAGAATTTTGTTATCTTTGGCTGTGAATTTTAGCTGGCCATTACACCAGTTAGATGTAAAAATGCCTTTTTAAATGGAGATCTTGAGGATAAGGTCTTTATGAATCTGCCACCTTGGTTTGAGGGAAAATTGGGACCTAATAAAGTTTTTAGACTGAAGAAATCTTTATATGGTCTCAAACAGTCCCCTAGAGCTTGGTTTGAGAGATTTGGGAGAGCTGTGAAGAATTGTAGCTACTGTCAGAGCCAAACTGACCATACCATGTTCTACAAACACAGTAGAGAAGGTAAGGTTATAGTGTTAATTGTCTATGTGGATGATATAGTCTTGACAGGTAATGACAATGAAGAATTGGAGAGACTGAAAAAGAGACTTGCAGCTGACTTTGAGATCAAGGATTTGGGTGCATTAAAATACTTTCTTGGAATGGAGTTTGCTAGATCCAAAGAAGGTATATTTGTGAATCAACGTAAATATGTTCTTGATTTACTTAGTGAGACAGGTCTGCTAGGATGTAAACCAGCCGAGACACCCATCGAGCCCAACCTTAAGCTGCAGTATTCTAAAGATGAAGAAGTTTTGAATAAAGAGCAGTATCAAAGACTTATTGGAAGACTGATCTACTTGTCACATACACGTCCAGATATAGCTTTTGCAGTCAGCATGGTTAGCCAGTTCATACATTCACCTGGACAAGAACACTTTGATGCAGTCTACATAATTCTTAGATACCTAAAGGGGACCCCTGGGAGA